TTAAGAATTCCTCATATCAGTGAGATCATATGATACATGTCTTTCTCTGTTTGACTTATTTCACTCAACATAATACCCTCCAGTTCCATCCACGTCGCTGCAAATGGCAAGATCTCATTCCTTCAAAAGCAATTCTAACCATTTTTGGCATTTTTGGTGGCAGGCCACACCAGGTTCTGCTTTGCTTCAATAATCTTGGTACATTTAGGGCGAAAAACAAAAAAAACAAAAAACCAAAAACAACCAAAAAACGACGGTAGCTTTACTTGTATTTGAATGCAAAATGTTTTTTTCAGTTCTGTAATTTCCCCCCAAAATGAGCGGTTTCAGCAGAACAGCTCTCTGTGATCTGCCAAGAACAAGGAAGCCGAGGCAGAGATGTGGCCTTGATGGGTGAGACTGTGTTTCTAAGGGCACAAGGGGAGGGGAGTACAGGACCCCCCAGCCATATTCACACAGGAGTGGGAGGAAGGGTACTAGCAGCCTGCATTTTGTAGACCTTTTTTCCCTTTCCAAAAAAATAGAAAATCAAAAAAACAATTTAAAAAGAATCATTGATCTTTCAACATCTGTATTTTCAAAAGTTCTCTACCGGGATAAATTTTCCACTAGACTAGGGTTTGTCAGCTAGGAGTAAGGACTCATAGATCATTGTGCTCTGTTTCCTGCCTCTGGGTTCAGGGTTCCTTCTGAAGCCAGCGGAGTAGTGCAGGGGAAGGTGAGAGGCGGGCCCGGTGGGATTATACACAACCCATTTCCATAAACCCCATCCCTGGTACTCTTGTAGCAACCACCCCAAGTACCTGTTTCTTTGCTAGTGATACTTTATACCCTGGGGTCTTCCAAGAGACTTTCTTTTTTTTTTTTTAGATGAGTTCTTTTTTTTTATTATGTTATGTTAATCACCATACATTACATCATTAGTCCAAGAGACTTTCTTTTTAATCCACCTTGGATCGAAGCAACAACAAAAATGGGCTTTTAGATCGGGTCTCAGATTTTGTGCTTACCAATCGGAGACCAAAGAAAACTTTAGGCACTTAGGTTTCAGTTCCTTCCCCCGCCCCACCGAAAGTCTTTCTGTTTTCTTAACAGTGCAGTTTCTAAGATGAAGGGAGATGCTTTGTGTGGATGCGTCTTCACAGCTTATTGTTGCTTCTGTGAGCCTTTTGCGAGCACCTTGCCCCTTTCGGGCTGCCTGCAGGTGTCTTGGGAGCAGACCCCTCCGGGCTGGTATAGGTGGGCACGGCAGAGCAGATAAATTTGCCCCGTTGCCCTGTTGTGGTGTTGGTCTCTAAAGGCCAAAGAGAGTTTAAGTCCCTCAAAATTGTGTTTCCTTTTGGTAAAATATTTACCGCATTCTTTCTGGCTTTAAAAGTAGCATGATAGACACTGGGGAGGGTATGTGCTCTGGTAAGCGCTGTGAATTGTGCAAGACTGTTGAATCTCAGATCTGTACCTCTGAAACAAATAATGCAATATATGTTAAGAAAAAAAAAAAAGAAGAAGAAGAAGGTAGCAGGAGGGGAAGAATGAAGCGGGGGAAATCGGAGGGGTAGACGAACCATGAGAGACGATGGACTCTGAAAAACAAACTGAGGGTTCTAGAGGGGAGGGGGGTGGGAGGATGGGTTAGCCTGGTGGTGGGTATTGAGGAGGGCACATTCTGCATGGAGCACAGGGTGTTATGCACAAGCAATGGATCATGGAACACTGCATCTAAAACTAATGATGTAATGTATGGGGATTAACATAAGAATAAAAAAAAAAGCAGCATCTGTTCATGATAGAAAAAAATCAGAAAAAGGAAGTAAAAAATAAAACCCATCTTGATTCTTTGTGCCATCGAGGGATAATCGAGGTTAGCGTTTTTTTGTATTTGCCACCAGGCGTGTTAACAAAATTGTGATCATGCTGCTTATGGGATTTTCTGTCCTGGCTTTGTCTTTATTTTTTTTTTAAGATTATTTATTTGAGAAAGAGAGAGCGAGAGAGCATGGGCGCATGAGCAGGGGAGGGGAGGAGAGGGGAGGGCAGGGGCAGAGGGAGCCTGATGGGGGCTCCATCCCAGGACCCCGAGATCATGACCTGAGCTGAAGCCAGACACTTAACTAACTGAGCCATCCAGGCGCCCCTATCTTGACTTTTTCTTTTTTTTTAAAAAGATTTTATTTATTTATTTGAGACAGAGAGAATGAGAGACAGAGAGCATGAGAGGGAGGAGGGTCAGAGGGAGAAGTAGACTCCCTGCTGAGCAGGGAGCCCGATGCTAGACTCGATCCTGGGACTCCAGGATCATGACTTGAGCTGGAGGCAGTCGCTTAACCGCTTAACCCCTATCTTGACTTTTCAAATCAACACCATATTGTAAGTTTCTTCGCCCATGGCAATTCTCTTTTTTCCAAAGTGTTGCTTGCATTGCTTCCATCATGTGGCTAGAACATAGGTTATCATTAGGTATGAATGCTGTTTCCTCTTGTTTTCTCATACTACTGCTCAACACAAGATAACACTGCGAAGAAATTATTCCTTTATTCTTCTATGTCACACGTTTCACCGTATTTTTCCCTGCAAGTTTTCTTGTTCAATTTCACAAGTAAGATTGAGATGCTTTCTGATGTTCAAATGAATTCACTGAATACAGATCTCTATGGAGTCTGAAATGAGAACCCCCTTCCCTGCCCTCTTGTCTCCCCTCCACTCAGCCTAAACAGCGGCTTCTGATTTGGTGCATCTCCTTAAAAATGTGCCGTTTGTCCTCTAAGAAGAAGGGAGCATGGAGGGTTTGGGGTAGAAAAATTGTTGCTTTGGTACCATCTTAATATTCTGTGAGAGCCCACTTCGTGCCGAGCACTACATGGGCCCCTCTGGTGGGGTTGCCCAATTTTGCAAATCGAAACTCAGGATGGCCAGTAAAATTTGAGTTTCAGGTAAACCATGAATGGTTTTCGGTATAAATATATTCCAAATATTCAGAGAGACAGAAAGTAGAATGGTGATTGCCAGGGGCTCAGGGGTATGGGGAGTCAGTGTGTCATGAGGACCGAGTTTCAGTTTTGCAAGGTAAGGAGTTCCGTGGATGGACTGTGGTGATAGTTGCACATCAGTGTGAATGCAGGGAATGCGGCTGGAACTGTTCACCCAAAAATGGTTAAGACGGTAAATTCTCTGTTGTGTGTCTTTGATCACAGTTAAAAAAATACTTACACTAAAACAATTGCACATGTATCTGAAATTCAAATTTAACTGGGCATCCTGTGTATTAACCTGGCCACCCTACACAGTGGGGATTACAAATAGAAATGGTCTTACCCAAGGGGGTCCTGGATGCTGAAGCCAACATCCCGGGTCTCTGCTTCTGTCCTTTGCTTGCAGGGAGCTCAGACGGTAGGGGCAGGAAATGGGACCCAGTTCCTTATTATGGCCAGTGAGACTCCTTATTTCCTTCTTAGTTTCCTGGATAACTGTGCGAAGCTTATAAACACATGTGGGCCGCGTGCCTGTGGGGAGGGAAGCTCATCAGTCCCCCAGCTCAGTTTCCTTGTCTGTGAAACAAGGAAGCTGGGCTTGATGACCTCTCACATTTATTTTCCAGCTGCAGAGTTCTGTGAAGCTAGACTGTTGCCTTGGTTTAATAATAATTTTAACATGGCCTGGATATTCTTCTGTGCTGGTGAAAACCCTTTCTATCCCTAAGGACACACATATCTTTATGTGGTCGCTGTTCTCTTTACATTACTGTATGTTTTATGTTTTATTTTTTTTTTAAGTAGGCTCTACGCCCAATGTGGGGTTTGAACTCGTGACCCTGAGACTGAGAGTTGCATGCTCTACTGAATGAGCCAGCCAGGCACCCCTGTATTACTGTATATTTTAATTAATTCCATGCACCTCCAGTCTGCTGATAAATGGATTCCCAAATAAAGAAGACCTTAATATTGAATCACTAGTTACAATTTGATAAATTTGAGTTGTGTTTTTAGCTGACCAGAGTTAGGCAGGGGAGCAGCATGGTAATTAAAAGCAGCTGATGGGTAGTTCCAAGCAAAACTGTAAGGAGAGTTATCTAAATTTCTTATACCTCAGTTTTGTCATCTGTAAAATGGGGATAATCGTAGTATCTACTTCATGGTGTTGTTATGAGGATTAAATTGTCTGATCGTGTAAAATACTTAGAATAATATATACATATATATGTGTATATATATATACACATATATATAATAAAGTAGTTAATAAATGTGTTGCTATTATTATTATTGTCTTTTTATAAACTGTTCCCTAATTTTTTTCTTAAGTGACCACATAGTCATCTCTCCTCAATATAATTGGCCAAATCAGTGGGTAAAGGAGCCCCTGCTTAATTTCTCCCCAGGAAGAGAAAGACTTTCTAAATATAAACACAATGGAAGAAATCACAAAGAAAGAGAAAGATTTGGCTTACTGTAAAAAAATTGAAATCTTACATATAATAAATACGTCATAACCAGAATTAAAAAGGCAAAAAATGAATTAGGGAAAACATTTGCCAGAAGCAAAGCAGACCAAAAAAAAAAAAAAAAATCAATATGCCTAACATGGAAAGAGCTCTTTGCAAATGAGTCAGATACCTCAGTAGAAAGGGAGCAAAGGAGAGAAGCAGTTCACAGAAGAAATGCAACAAGCAACAAGGCCAAGAGACACCTGTTTGCTAATAATCAGGGAAATGAAAATTGAAACAGTATTGACTAATATAATTTGAGGAGATGCTATAGGTTTTTCCATGAAATGAATTTTTTCTTTTTTGTCTTAATGAAAAAATGTCTTTTTTTTTTTTTTTAATCATCACAGGGTAATTAGAACTATTAGAACTACAACCCATTTCACTGTTTATACAGCCGATTTCAAGCCTTATCCTGTTCTATTACGTTTTCGACAATTACAAATATATTTAGTCTGGGAACTTGAGGCATTGCCTTGGGATGTTGCTGGGGGGCAGGGGCATTATAATTTCAGGAATGCCCCATTAACTAACCCCTCCCACTGCTATTGTGCTGAATTCTAGCCACTGAGTAAACTTGGGTGTCCCCCTCTTCCTAACCATGAAAATAATTCCGATTATAAAAATGTAAGAAAGTCCAGCTAAGCTTTGATTTTTCCCATTTTTATTATTTAAAAAAATGTCACATGTTTACAAGTTTTCCCTTTTTAAAAAATACCATAATGTGTGTGTGTGTGTATGAAAACTTGATGGTAAATTTGATGGTGTCCCTAAAATATGCTTAGTTTGCCTTTTGGGTTCTGGGTGTTGTAAATGGAAGTGGCGCTGGCCTGATTCTAGAACCACAAGGAAGCCCAGTATTGCTTCCTCTGCATGTTTGTCCTGACGTTGGGATGACCCGTGTGCCTCTGGGAGCTCCGTGTGCACTCAGCCCAGCAGCTTCCAGTAGGACTTCAATACCCTGCAGGCCCTTAATTCAGCGCATAACCAGCCTGCAGACTGTGACTTCTGCTAATCTAACCTGATGCCTCTTTCCTCACGCAGCCTTGTCAATGAGGTGTACGAGGTGGACAGCACCATCCAGACCTTGCAGCAGCGCCTGAGGGACGCGGAGGACACCCTGCAGTCGCTGGTCCACACCAAGGCCACCCTGGAGCATGACCTGGCCGTCAAAGCCAACTCCCTGTACATTGACCAAGAAAAATGCATGAGCATGCGCAAGACCTTCCCCAACACCCTTCGGCTGGAAGGCTTCTGTTAGGGGACCCCACCAGGAGCCAGCAAAGTGGAACCACAGCCCTGTGGCAGCTAATTTAAATGGAGTGCTAATATCGTTACTTATTAAAGGATTGTGTTGATAGAAATGTAAACAATGTCCTGTCTTGGAGAGTGTTTTATTTACGTCCAAACCTTCATTTTGTACTATTTACTAGGCTTCTGAGCTATGGTAAGGATATAAAGAAATATAATCAATCTAATAGAGAAGGTAAAAAAAAAAAGATTATTTGTATTATTCTTGTTGTTCTCTGTGTAACATAAATGGGCTGGAAAGGAGAAATGTATTTCCTCTAGGCAGTGGGGGCAGGAATCACAAATAGGGTGGATTTTCAGCTCTGCCTCAGAGGAAACCCAGAGGAAAGGAGAAAGGCCCTTGGGTATGTAGTGGTTGGAGGTAGTCTGAGCAAAAACAAGGGTGAAACAAATACACAGTGTATTTGGAACAATAACGAGACCGGTTTGATTGTGATTCATAATGCAGGGTATATAACATGGGGAGGCCTTCAACTCCAGGTCAAGGAATTGGGGAGAGCTGACGGACACCTCCGAGCAGGAAAATGGCCTTATGAAATTGCGATCGAGCAACGATATTAGAGTGATGGCAGTAGAAACAAAGAAAGGAGAGATGCAAAACATATTCTAACCAATCAACAGGACTTGGTGACTCTTTCCGTGGGAACTGAGTGCAAAGGGGTCCAGGATGACAGAGGCGTTGACCCTAGATGGGTTGCAAAATGGGGCACTGCTTAAATTCCGGGAGGTCCTGTGGTATCCCAGGGGTTATTGCTTAAAATAACTTTTTCTTTATTATAAATGAAAAACATTTGCATGACATATTTTGGAAATGCAGAACACACACACATACCAACTCCTAAAAAGCACACGTTATCATAACACCCAGAAATGGTCACTGAGGTTTGTCAACATTTTATTTTCCGTGCTCTCAATTCCTTTGCTTTGACTCTATGTGCATATAATATTTATCTACACATGTGGGTATTATGTAATGTTTATGGTTATTTACATATATAAATATGTCACTGGCTGTTTATCCACAGCATCATTTTTTTT